CATCAACTAACAGTTGACACTTTTTTTTTAAAAATTTTAAGTCATAGATGACACTTTCTATGAAAGAGTTGTTGAGTCTTTCAGGAAGTGAATAATCATTGTTTGCCTGGGCAGGACACTCTCCCCCACCCCACGACGCACCCCCCCCCCAAAAAAAAAGTTCATGCTAATGATGCTAATGGAGGCAGGAATAGTATTATAGTTATTATAATGTGGACAATAAGATATGATGTCCATTCTTGGTATCTAAGCTAACTGTGAGGTAAAAGTTTTAATCTTCCAGTCTACTTAGATGACTTAATCTTATAACATGACCTGAAGATTTGAATTTTTTTTACAACTCCTTGTATTTGTAGAAATTTGAAACATCTTTTTTTGACATTTCAGCATTACTGTGCAATCATAAATTAGTATTTCTTGTTTGGAGAGAGAATAGGACTATTTCCCAAATGAATGTCTATCTACTCACCAGTGCCCTGCACCGAGTCAGGTCAGCCCAGAGGGGGCAGCAGAGGGAGACTAAAGTCAACCCTAGATTATTTAAAACAACAGTCCAACATTTGGGGGCAATTTTTAAGAAACAACTAAAGATGAAATGACGGTGCCAAGTGTTTCCCCAGAGATGAAAATCTTAGGAAGAAGGTGGGAAATTGCCATCTTTTAGAAGCACCAGCTCTGTCTTCAGATCCCCTATCTCTTTCCCTTTAAGATGGAAGCAGGGAAATCATGTGGGGTTGCCTGTAAGCTCCCTTTCAGATTCTCTCTTAACCCAGTTCCTTGCATAGGATGTAAATTCCACCAGAGGCCTCTGACTTCCGTGTTCTYTTTCCACAGATACAGTCACAATTTCTGAGAATTGTAGGAGGAGGGGGTTCTGGGCCAGGAGGAGTGCTTAGCCAGGAAGAGGCTATCTGGGGGTGAAGCAGGGAGGATGCTTAACATTTGAAAGGAGTGTGAACACTGTATTTACATTTAAATTAAAATGGAAACTTCTTATAGGTTATGTTTCTGGAAGGTGTGTGTGGCGCATCTGCTGAGGTCTATTGTTTATTCATGCTGTAAATCCTTTGAAATGTGTTAAAATGCTTCCCACTCATTATAGAGCTCCTGCCACCCCTGGATTACGACTTTGATGTCACCAATCCCGCTTCAAAGGGTTCTTTCTGGGCTATTAATCACAGTTTAGCCTCTGAAGATATCGCCAGAGAAAACATTTGGACATCTTTGTGCTAGACTCGCTAAAACTTTGAAATCTCGAGCATCTTGCATATGCACAAATTGCAGCATTTCCTTTCTTTGACAACTTTTTATTTTGCTTCAGAATCAAATGACACTGTGGGTAAAAATGCAAACAAATCTCTTCACACACTTGGTCTGATAAAGGGTAGGTGGTAGCCAGGAGGGGAGAAGAGAGTCTGAGGACACTCTGAGCCTTCAAAGGTAAAAGCAGCAGCACCCTTCATTTATCTCTCTCTCTCTCTCTCTCTCTTCTTTTTTATTTGACTACTCGGTGAGATTCTCTGGCCTTCTCTTGCTTTCTATTCTTGCTTTGAGATCTATGTCAATTGTTCACAACAAATAGTTGTATATAGATTGAATATCCCTTATCCAAAATGCTTGGGACCAGACATGTTTAAGATTTTGAATGTTTATTTTTTAAATTCGTGAATATTTGCATATGCATAACGAGATACCTTGGGCATGGGACCCAAGTCTAAAGACAAAATTCATTCATGTTTCACAAAAACCTCATTCAAATGGTGTGGAGGTAATTTTATATTATGTATGTATATTTGTATGTCACATATACTTATATAATAATAAATTTATACTGATATATATGTAGGTATTAATATGAATGATATAAATATAGTGATCTATATGTATTCATGTCAATATACACATGATATAAATATTATAATGTAGAATATRTTTATGTTTATGATAAATATTTTACATATGTATATGTATTTGTGTGTGTGTGTGAGTGTGTGTATGTGTGTGTGTGTGAGTGTATGGTACAAGGGATTGAACCCAGAGTCTTGCACATGCTAGGCAAACACTCTACCTTTTGAACTCCAACCCCACCCTCTTTTTTACACAATAAATTTAAATAATTTTGTGAATGGGGCTYAGTGGTAGAACCCATGCTTAACATTTGCCAGGCCCTGGTCTCAATCCCTAGCATCAGTAACAATAATAATAATCTCAACAACAACTTTGTGCATGGAACAAAGTTTAAGGGGGCAGATTCTCAACTTGTAGCATCAGATCAGTCTCAAAAATTTCAGGTTTAGGAGCATTTGAATTTTGGAATTTCAGATTAGGGATGTTTGACCTACACTATTAGAGCATATTCTTTTTTCTAGCATRTTTCTTCACACTTTCTATTTCACTTCTTTATTAAGTCTCCCAGTGTTTTATAAAACTTATGTTACTTACATTTGCATGTTTTTCTTTTGTTCTGAGGGCCTCAGCCATGAAACTAGGATGGCTGAGGAGAAAAGTCTTTTTTCCTTCCCTACAGGACCCTTACTACTTCATCTGAGAATCAGTGCCCCTGTCTCAAATCTTCACAGTGGCCTTCCCTGTCAGTTTCTTAATGGGAAAATTCCCACCAGCATCTTTTTTCTCCATATTCATATTCATATTCATATTCATATGAGTAGCCAGGCTCTGTTTTTTTTTTTTTGGTAGTAAAAATCACATAGCATGAAATCTCCCTTCCTAGAGTATTATTAAGTGTGCAATATCCTTAGCCACATGTGTGTTGTTGTAAGCAGGTCTCTAAAGCCTGCATGACTGTACTCTGTACTCAGCACACATCAATTCCCATTTCCTCTCGCCCTAGCCCCTGGCAGTCAGCATTCTATTCTCAGTTTTTGCGAGTTTGACGACCTCACATACCTCATCTGAGTGGAGTCATGAAATATTTGTTCTTCTGTGATGGGTTTATTTCACTGAAATAAATCTAAAGCTTTCAGATTTATCCATGTTTAACAGATGACAGTATTTCCTTCTTTTTTAAGGCTGAATACATACATGCCATTGTATGTATATGCCACATTCATCTGATAAGGAACACTTATTTGTTTCCACCTCTGCATAATAGTGAATAATGGTGCAATGCATATGGAGTGTGAATCTGTCTTCAAGATCCTGTTCTCAATGATTTGAGATAAATATTCAAGTGAGGTTTCTGGATGATTTGGTAGATCTCTTATTAAATTTTGAAAAACTGCCATAGTATGTTTTCTAAACCAATAGTGTAAAAGGTTCATTTTTTTCCCACACCTTCAACATTTGTAATTTTCTATTTTTTAAGCTTTATTTTTATAACTGGCTATCTTAACAGCCACAATGTAATATTTCATTGTGAATTGATTTTAATTTCCSTAGTATTCAGATATTGAACATCTTTTCACATACCTTTGAGGCCATATATGCTTTCTGTGGAGATATGTCTATGCAATTCCTTTGCCCATATTTTAATTGGGTTACCTTTTTTTTTTGCTATTGAATTGTAGGTGTGCCTATGTCTTTTGAATATTTACCCCAATCTGATATGTGGCTTGCAAATGTTTTCTCCCACCCTGTAGATTTTGCTTTGGCTGCACAAAAGCATTGCTTTCATGTAGCCTAACTCGTCTATTGTTGCTTGCGCTGTTAGTGTCATACCCAAAATCTCATCGCCAAGATCAGTGTCATGAGGCCTCTCTTCTTTGTTTTCTTCTAGGAGTTTTATTGTGTCCAGCCTCATGCTTAAGTCTTTAATTCATTTTTAATTTATTTCTGTGTATAATATAAGAATTCATTTTCATTCCTTAGCATGCAGACTACAGTCTCAGCACCCTTGTCAAGGATCATAGATATGTGGTCATAGATATGTGAGTTTATTTCTGGGCACTCTGTTTCATTGGTCTATGTGTCTGTCTTTATGCTAGTACCATACTGTGTTGATTACTATAGCTTTGTAATGTGTTTTGAAGTCAGGAAATGTGAAGCCTCCAGTTTTTATCTTTCTCAAGATCATTTCAGCTTTTGAGACCCTTTGTGGTTCCAAACAAATTTTGGGATTTTTTTTCTCTATTTCTGCAAAAATATCATTGAAGTTTTGATAGGGATCATATTGAATTTGCAGTTTGATTAAATTTATGCTTAAGTATTATATTCTTTTTTATGTTATTGTAAATTTAATTATTTTCTTAATTTTTTCATTTAGTCTATTGTTATTGTAGAGCAATATGACTGATTTTTGTAGGCTGATTTTCTATAAAGCATATTTGTTAAATTCATTTATTAGTGCTGACATTATCTTCTTTTTTTAAAGGTATTTCTGTCTCTGTTTTTTTTTTAATATCTTTATTTTATTTTTATGTGGTGTTGAGGACCGAACCCAGCACCCTGCGCATGCCAGGCGAGTGYGCTATACCGCGGGAGCCACATCCCCAGCCACATTATCTTCTTAATGTGGACTCTTCAGGGTTTCCATAAGATTATGTCATCTATGATGACATAATCTTGAATAATTTTACTTATTTTCTGATTTAGGTGATTTTCTTTCTTTTTCTTGCGTAATTCTTCTAGTTAGGACTTCTAGTATTTTGTTAAATAGAAGTAGTGAGTGTACTACTTAGACCTTCCTGATCTTAGAAGAAAAGCTGGCACTTTTTCACTGTTGAGCATGATATTAGGTGTAGGCTTTTCGTATTCTTTATTATGTTGAAGTAATTTCCTTCTATGTTTGTAAATTAGATACTTTTTGTTGYTTGTAAAACTCATGTAAATGCAATTTATTTTATAAATTATTTAAAATTACTTACAGTCTAAAGGTAATTATTGTAATTGATATAATTGATGTTACAAAATTCAAATTTTTTCAAATAGATCATTTGAAAAGTTTTTTTAAAAAGATAAAAACACAAAGGGAGAATTCACTCATGATCGAGTTTTCTTAACTTTTCCTTTAATTTAAGTTTTTTATCTTTTTTTTTGCTCAGGTAATTTGGCCCAGTCAAGAGCCAAGATAATAGCAGCCTCAAGATCTTTGCCTCCACATTTCAGTTCTGGGAGAGCTAAGGTGAGCAGAAAATTCACACCAATGATGTGTGGGTGTGGGGGAGAGCGCTTGTTCCTACCCTGCAGAGAAAGCTGCTGTGGATGGCRTTAGTTCCCTTCATTCAGCCCACGGTCTGGGCGGTCTGGTTGTATGGTAGAGAGTTTGAATCTATATGGGAAATCAGGTATTAGGAAATTTGAAAAAAAAAAAAAAAAAGAACCTCATAGAATCTATACGATTCTGATTCTCAGAAAGACCACTTAAGATACAAGATAATCACAGTTGAAAATAAAATCCACCTTGAAAGAGATAAAACACATGTCCTTGAGACTATCATCAGCCTGCAGAGGAGGATCACAGAGATAAAATAAAATTGGCATGGAGGAAAAAAATCTAACTCCTTCCTATTGTTCTACTCTGCTCTCTGAAACATGAGTTGTATACTTTGTGTGTGTGTGTGTGTGTAAGGGGTTAGAGGGTTCATAAATATCCAGCTGTAAAGTATGTTTTTTTTTTTTTTTTTTTAACAATTCTGCCCTACCAGCTAATGGTTAGCCAGGATATCCAGGGCTGCCTGGTTGATATTCATTGCATATACAGTAATCCCCCTGATTTATGGTTTAGCTTTCCATGATTTCAGTTACTTTTAGTTAACCATGGTCAAAAAACATGAAATGGAGTATTCAGAAATGAACAATTCATAAGTGTTAAATTGTGCACCATTCTAAGCAGTAGGCCATCCCTCTTGGTTCTGCTCAGGATGTGAATCATCCCTTGGTCCAATGTTTCCATACAGTATATTCTACTTGCACATTAGGTACTTGGTAGTTACCTCGGTTGTCAGATCAACTGTCATGGTATCACAGTAATTKAATCAGGATTTGTGTTCAAGTAACCTTTATTTTAACCTAATAGCTCCAAAGCATGAGTAGTGGGATGTTTGTAATTTGAATATGCCCAGGAGAAGCTGTAAAATACTTCCTTTAAGTGAAAAGACAGGAGTAATMATTTTTTAAAGTATATTGTCATAATTACTCAATTTTATTATTAATTATGGGTTTGTTATGGTTTGGATATGAGGTATCCCCCCAAAGCTCATGTGTGAGACAATGCAAGAAGGTTCAGAGGAGAAATGGTTGGGTTATGAGAGCCTCAACCAATTAGTGAATTAATCACCTAATGGGATTAATTGGGTGGTAATTGAAAGCAGGTAGGGTGTGGCTGGAGGAGGTGAGCATTGGGGTCCTGGCTTTGGGGTATATATTTGTGTCTGGCAAATGGAGCTCTGGCTCTGCTTTCTGATCATCATGTGAGCTGCTTCCCTCTGCCACACTCTTCCACCATGATGTTCAGCTTCACCTTGAATCCTGAGGAATGGAGCCTGCTGTCCATGGACTGTGACTTCTGAAACTGTGAGCCCCTAATAAAACTTTTCCTCCTCTACAGTTATGCTGGTCAGATCTTTTAGTCACAGCAATGAAAAAGCCGACTAAAACAGGTTTAAATCTCTAAATGTGCCTAATAAATAAATTAAACTTAATCATAGTTTTGTATGTATAGGAAAAAGCATGATATATGGGTTGTGGTAATATCCACAGTTTCAGGCATTCATTGGGGGGGTCTTTGGATACATCCCCCAATGATCAGAGAAGACTATGTATTAGCCCCCAAAATAGTTACCTTGATAGAGAAATATACAGGTCACATCTCTGAATTTCCTTATTTTTCACATAAAATATTAATTTTAATAAAGAATAAGCAATTCAACCACACATAATACTGTTGAATATTCTCCMTAAATTAATATAGATATATTTACATATGTATATATTTATCCTTACTTTTCCTGAGAATAAAAGACTTACTTGCACATAGTAGAAAATCAAGAGATTTTTGTTAATAATAATTTTTGTACCCACATTGCTATTCTGATCCATTTTTATGTTCTACTTTTCAACCTTGCTACTTCATGAAAGAATATTATGTAACAGGGATTATGTGGACCCCTAGAAGGGACTTTCATAATTTGAGTCATATCCTGTGCAGGACCAAGAAGGATGGCAATCTATTTATAATGGTGCACAATTGAAAACTTGTGAATTGTTTATTTCTGGAACTTTCTATTTCATATTTTTGAAACATGGAGGGGTTCTCAGAGTCTCCTGATCTTACACTTAAACTTTTGTTTATATTAAATGCAGCCAATTCTTTGTATTTCTGAAAGTCTTAGTCTGTAAGTCACTGCAGTCACTGAATCAGCAAACACTGACCCCATTGCTCCTTGGAAAAATAGAGGGTGAGGTTCCTGAGAGACACTGGTCAGAGTCAACAGGTCAATGCATAATCTCATTTTCTATGTTTTGGTTTAATGCTACCTTCTTTACTATATATTTCTGGTAAATAATTAATCATATCCAGCATTTCTTTATGTAAAAGAGCACTTCTATTGCAGCATTTGTGTCATGGAACTCAGCCAACCGCACAAAAACTCATGCCCAAGTAAAGCTCAAGGAACGTGTACCTTCTCCATGAGGCAACGTGAAACCTTATTGGATTTAGGAATGATGAACAGGTGCTTCCGCATTATACCTGGGGGCCATTTCAAACAGCACCAACAAAACACAAATAAGTGCAAAAGTGAGGCAGTTAAATAGACATCAAAAATAGACATTTATAGGAGCAGAGCTGAAACATCACCCTCTTTGACTTTAGTTGGAAACTTGTGCATCTGGAGACTCAAAGTTTTCACTGCTTTGTGAGCATTGACTTATGGGGGTTACAAATAAATGTTAGCAAGGGGGAAAACTTGCAATTATAGAATGCACGAGAGATGAAGATGGACTGAAATGGGGTGGTTTTGTTTGTATGTTTATTTTGGAGTTATTGGCTGCCACCAGATTTTTAAAGAGATCATGACGCAAAAAGATTAAAGACTCCTGTACAGTATTTCTCTAGCCCAGATTCCCCTCTTTTCCCTTATTTGATTTTTGACTACAGGAGCCTGCCAGGACATTTCCCCTACCTTCCAAACCATCCAACTGTTGTTTTCTCTCTTCCTGCACTATCCGATGCTCTTCAGGCCCTGCCCAGATGAGAARCATGCCTTCTAGTATATTTACATCATTAAAATAATAATAACATGATTATTATGTATAGGTAAGATGAAAATGACCATAGATTCTTTTTTACTTGGAAAGGAAGTAAGTTGGAAGTTTAAATGAAGGCATCCCAAAATATGAAGGGCAACAATAATTTTGAAAACAACCTCCRATCGTCTTTGTCTTATCCTTATCCAAGATAAAAGAGCAAAAAGCAGCCCTCGATGAAGCTGTGCTCTGTAAGGGAGAAAAAGTAATATCTTTTCCTCATTCGTCATAAGGTACATAACTGAGACCCTCATGACAAAGACAGATTGCTGAGAAAAAAGCATGCGCATTTATTTAATGTGAGTTTTACATGACAGAGAGCCTTCAGAAATGAAGTCCCAAAGCAACAATCTGTGTGTTTTTACAGGAAGTTGTGCAGAGGTATCATTGGAAGGCAAAAAGGTTGACTTGTGCTAATATACTAGGGGCAATTTATTTAGATCCTTCTTGGTGTCCCTGTGTGACATTGTTTCCTTCTGGTATAAGATGAGACACTGGTCATATGAAGGTCTTAGGGAAGACCTTGAGAGAGTGACCTTTATGGACTGCTTCAGAAAAGAAAAGCAAAAAACAAGGGGTAGCCTTCCTGTTTCTGCTCTTCCAAAGGCCAAGGTGCCATGTCCTGGTGGGGGAAGGGGTGTCCTGAGCCCAGCCAGCTCCAACACAGGCAGCATGACTGCTCAGGCCTGTTTGCAATACYAGGCTTGCTTTCCTGTTCAGGGCCACAGGGGCTTTTGAGAGGGGTGATGCTGTAGGCACCCTTCTTAAGGGATGAATATATCACTTGGTAGCAGTAAAAATTCTTGACAAAAGGCCTTGTCAGGAAGATAATAAGTCTAAGCACTTCTGAGGTTTCAGAATGCAAATAGTGAGCACTTACTGAGACCTGGAGAAATTTTTTCAGGTTTTCTTTTTTTTCTTTCTTTCTTTTTTTTTTTTTTTTTTTTTGCTGAGATCTGGATGATTTACGGGACATTTGGAGTCTATGTCTTTATCCTAGAGTAAATTCAGTTGACAGATGAGGCAAATCTTTTTAATAATACTATGCTTTAGACTTTGATTTTATAAGTTATATCAAACCACATAACTTGGTGGTATATAATGTTTAATGTTTGAGAAGTCACATTTAGGAATCAGAACTGCTAGGCTGCAAGACTCTGGAAAACTTACCCCAAATCTTGGAAATCTCTCAGTCTTCATTTTCTCATATGTAGAATGGGACTAATAGTAGAACTTACTTCAGATTTTCATTTTGAGAGTTCACTGACGTAATGTAGGTAAAGCGTTTAGTACAGGACAATGATCTCACACAGGGTTCACTCAATGCATGTTTTATTTCTCAAGTTTTGGTTGGCATCCCTGGAAACCTGCTCAGCTGTCATGGCTGGGGACCTGCAACACAATGTGCAAAGCTTATTCGTGGAACTTGAAGGCCAACGAGCTCCACTCACAAGGACTAGGCAGGACATTTGCCATCTGGGCTAAAAAGTGAGCTTGCTCAGTCAGCTCCAAATGATTTATGTTATTGTGTAAATCAGTTTTATAGGAGGAAAGTGTCCTGAGTTAGGCAGACAGTGGTTTTATCTAGAATATCCCTTCTACTGATTGTTTTAAGATTGGTTCCCTCTTTTGGATCCACTCTGTGTTCAGGAGAACCTTATGACTATGTAAGTATACGAGAGACCTTTCATCAACCCGAGACTTGTCTGAATTCTTAAATTAGAAAATATCTCAACGACTTATTATTTCTTCAGTAAAATACAGTGCTGAGTATGTAGGTGATGAATTACAGACAAACATTAGCATTTCCAGGTTGTAGGTAACCAAGAACAGGTTTTCCTTTCCTTTCCAAGAGTTACTCTATATGCGAAAGCAAGGACTGTCCTTTTGAAACAGAGTGCTGGGTGGTGAGACTCAGATCCTACTTGCTGGGGCTTCCCTCCTGTCCACACCAACAGTTTTACAACTTTAGAAGTGCAAATTGGTGCTGCATTCTGTTTTTTTCTTCCCCCCCCTCCCCATTTTGCCTTAGGTTACAAATCTGTGCTGAGCTAGAAAATAATATCTGCAATTCCTTTTAAACTGTGTCCCAGTAGCTGGGCCTGGTGGCATACATCTGTAGTCCCAGTTAATCTGGAGGCTGAGGCAAGAGGATCACTTGAACCCACAAGTTCAAGGCCAGCCTGCTGGCCCAAACAAACAAGCTAACAAAATTGTGACTCGGCCATCAAGCATTTCTGGTCACTAAGCTCTTAAATTCTTGAATGCCAACCGGTCTGTTGTACCTTCTGAAGGGGGTAACAGGTCCACCCCTCACCACCTACGCAGGTTCAGGGAGGATCTCTAAATAAAAGGAAGTGGTTGGGGGCTGGGGATATAGCTCAGTAGATAGAGTGCCTGCTTCACATGCACAGGCCCTGGGTTCAATCCCCAGCACTACACAAACACACACACACACACACACACACACACACACACACACGAAGTGGTTGGGGGAAATTCTAGAGAGAGAGAGAAAGAAAGAGAGAGAAAGAAAGAGAGAGAAAGGAAGAAATAGAGTGTGTGTAGGTCCGGTGACTGTCCTTAAATTCTCATACAGAATAACTCTTGGAAAGGAAATGAAAACCTGTTCTTGTGTGTAAGCAGGGTGAGGGGAGAAAATACAGAGGAAAAAATGTTGGAAAAAAATCTCTCTGAATTTACCATTCAGCAAAAGGCTGATCCCAGCCAAAATCTTCCCGTTAGTCCTAATTAGCTTACCCCAAACCTCACCAGCTCTGAGCTCTGTGCTCCAGTGGGGGTTGAGAGAGGGAAGAAACCCACAGTGTAGACCCACCAGTGTAGACCCATCTGAGCATGGTAGCATCTCCACAGGGGGCCCTGTGCCTTCCCTTTTTAGTATAGAGCATCCTCCCTTCCAAACACAGATGTTTTCCTTTCCTCCTTTTTTTCATTAYAAATTTAAAAAGAAGACAGGCAGGTGAGTCGCTGTTACAGCTGCATGTGGATGGACTGCTGGCACCCAGAATGCAGCCCATAAAAGAGAAAGCTGCACAGCCCAGATGTGTCTTCACCTGGGTCATATTCCTGCTCCCTGTTTGGGTTGCTCTTCTAGTTTTTGATAACTCGTCCCTGTTTTTCCCCCTTCTTAAACAGACCTGTTTTCTTTTTCCAACCCAATTGAAGTGTTTCCTTCCATTTTTTCTCAGTGGCCTGAACACCCCTCCAGGYGTACCTCATTATTCTCCCCTCCTAGCGCCCCCCCCCCGACTGCTTTTAGCATCCATTTGTTGATTTCCTTGAACAAGGCTGMAGATGTCCTCACCCCATGGCACGGGGAGGTGGCTGCCTGGAYAGCGGTCCACCTTGCAGACCGTGCTGACATTTCTGCCTCATACCCTGGCCACCTGATCAGGGTAGATGGGAAACTGCCACTCATGGACTCCACCCACCAAAGAAGGATTTTTGTWGTTGAGTTACAGTAACGAAACACAGATGGCTTGTCATCCATTCCTTTTTTTTTTTTCCATCCAGAAATTCCTTCCATCAACCCAGGTAGTTGAAGAGATAATTGGGAACATGTGTCACCCACTGGGTTCCCTGGTGATTTGGTTACCCAAGCTCCTGCCTGCAGTGAGCACTTGGGTACTGTGGGAGGCAGGAGCATGTTGGGCATCAGTGTCTGATGGCCTGGAGGGTGACTGGTGCTGGCCTCATTCCCTATRGTTGGGATCTGTGTCCTTATAATCACCCAGCCTCAGGGGTCTTTCCAGTATTCTTGAAAAATGCATGTCCTTTTTCTTCTTTTAAAGTTYTCCCCACAGTGTACGCTGTTGTATCTTAAATATCAGGTCCCTCRGGTATTTATCAAATAGCCTTTCAGATTTGGGAAAACCTGGAGAATGAAGGAAGTATCTGTATTCTCAAACCACTTCCCTCTCTCTGTGCTTCTAGGTGGACACCCTGGAGATGATGCGGCATCCGGAAGAAAGCACCAACATGAAGAGGCAAACCATGGCTTCTTACTTCCGGGTATGGGGTCTCGTTGATCTCTAGGAAGACTTTTTCCAGAAAGACCTTGCCAAGCCTTCCTACAAGAGGTTCAAAGTCATTGGAACAGGGCAAAGCTCAAGAGCCAGTTAAGAAAGTGGGGTGGTGGGAGTGGGGGCTGGGTAAGAGTGGAAGTGGCAGCAGAGAGAACATTGGCACTCAGCCCTGTACATTGGGCACCCTGATTCTGCTAGCCTTCTTGGCTTTGCAACTACAAGAGTCAGCCATTTCTTCAGCAAACAGTCATAGTTAATAAAATCCTCGAAGATAGCTTACCAAGTTCAGATACTGAGAAAAGTATGAGATTTATTGACCCATTGCAAAATCCATTTTCCTGAGCCTTATTATTTCCCACATCTGCCTCTTTTGGGTAAAAACATTTGTCTCTAGAAGGGCTCTGTTAAATGCCCATTATATAGCAAAGATAAGACACATGATCTCTTCACCACTTTGCACAGATTCATTCATCTTCAAATTATTATAAAGCATTAGAACTGGAAGCCTGTTAGAGATCAAGAGTCCTCGGGAGCTAAGGTGGGTAGACATCTGGGTAGCTTCATGGTGGAGGTGCTCTTATGACAAAGTAGGAACCTGTCTCAGTGGGAGAAGAATAAGGTGGTATAACGGGGTTGACAGTGGAAGGGGTTCTACAGGGTTGGATGGTCAGGGATAGGATCTGGCTCAAGAGCTGAAGGTGCAGGTGGGCTGAAGGGCAGGACCTTCAGTGCTGAGAATGAGCTCTGTGGATAGAAGACTCCATGGAAGGCCAGTGGGTGCAAAAGGATCTAAGGCCACAAAGTCCAGCTGAAGCACTTGGGTTTCAGAGGCAGACTAAATTGAGCTCATGGTATGATCTTTCTCTCCAACACTCAACCCATGTGGTGATTCCTACATCTCTGGCAGATGGCTTTCAGTACCTGCTTGATCACTCTGGTGTTTGGACATTTCTAATTGTTACTTATTTCTTATCTTGAAACCCCACTCTGGTCCTGTCCTCTCTAGCAGCCATATAATCATTCCCCTCCTAACCCTTGCTATGTGTGTACATGCACGTGTACACGTGTGTATGTTTGCATGGGATCTGGAGGCTCTTTGACCATGGGAAATCACCCTCAGGATCCCAAGCAACCCACCCCCCGTTATTGGAGAAGCCTCTGGCTTATAGTTTTTCAGAATTATACCATGACAACAAGTTTGATGTCCTTAAAATATGGTCCCTCAAAACTAAACTTATCATGATACCTTGATAAGCTAGACACGACCAATTTTCATCAGTAATGGGTGATCATAAAAGCACAGAACTGATTTCCCGTGTGGTTCTAATTGCCCCTGAAGGGTTGCCTGGAAGAGGAGTTCCAGCAGTGCTTGGCCTGAGGGACAGTGGCAGCCTCCTGGCACAAGTACCCCTCTGGTTTCACATCTCCTTTCCTCCTCTCTCTACCAAGTATATGTTAGTTGATCATCATAATCTTCTTTTTCTACAATTTTTCTTTGTGTGTGTTTTGTCTTTCTCTATTCTTTTTTGTTCCTCTTCCTTACTGCCATAAGGAATAGGTAGGATTCACTTAGACTCTCTGGTGGTTCTTAGGCTAAAGAAACAAACCTTTCCTTCAAAGTTGGGTATTTTATTTTAWTTTTTGGTGGGGGAGGGAGTGCCAGGGATTGAACTCAGAGATACTTGACCACTGAGCCACAACCCCAGCCCTATCTTTGTATTTTATTTAGAGACAGGGTCTCACTGAATTGCTTAGTGCCTTGCTTTTGCTGAGACTGGATTTGAACGTGTGATCCTTCTGTCTCAGTCTCCTGAGCTGCTGGGATTACAGGCATGCACCACCCTTGGGTAATTTTTTTAGTATTTATTTTTTAGTTGAAGTTGGACATAATACCTTTATTTTATTTATTTTTATGTGGTGCTAAGGATCAAACCCAGGGCCTCCCACTTCCTAGTCGAGTGCTCTACCGCTGAGCTACAATCCCAGCTGCACCCCTGGRTATTTTAACTTATGGTTTATGGACATTCATTTTGGATACCTGAGGGTATTCCAACTAGAGCGTGTTCTTAGATAGGTTTCTGCCAGCGGGGATATTGCTTGGCACTAGGAGATGATTAAAGAATGCTTTTGAATCTTCAGTTAGCTCTAAGGAGAACTTATATTGCCATCTGCTATTATTGATTTCATGTTCTGCTTCAAAGGTCTGTGAGTYATTCACAAATCCCAGACTGCTCTTAGAGGCCCCTCTGGGTCCACGCTGGTGCTAACCTCATTTTGTGTGTGGTTTTCTCCCTGGTAGTATTCTCTGATGGACTTGCTCTCCAAAATGGTGATTGGACAGCCCCACTTTGTGCGTTGCATTAAACCCAATGATGACCGAGAGGCCCTGAAGTTCTCCCGAGAGAGGGTCCTCACCCAGCTCCGATCCACAGGCATCCTGGAGACCGTCAACATCAGAAGGCAGGGTTATTCCCACCGCATCCTCTTCGAGGAGTTTGTGAAAAGGTCAGTATGACATCTTTGGAAATGCATGTTATAGGGCTTGGGTGTAGCTCCGTGGTGGAGTGCTTGCCTAGCATGCATGAAGCCCTGGGTTCCACCCCCAGTCCTAGGGAGGGGAGGAGGAAATGTGTTTTGCAAATAAAGCTGTCCCTTGGTCATTCCTGTCCCCTGTGGTTGCTCCTCCTGCCCACTTCCCTCCAAACAGGTTACTGAATGGTTACCAGCTGCCATGTACTTGCTGAAATGTTGTATTTTTATTGTGTTCCAACTAAGCGGCAGTGATCCAGAGGACAGAATAAGCTTCCTTCTGATCACATTAAAAATAAATATACATARGCATTTTTCATGTTATAAATTCTTAGGTCTCTAATTATGCAGATATTTATGATGGATGTATCCCTTCATACATGGGCCATGATTCTGGAGGATATGAATGTACCCAAGCAGCCATTCCTCTTCTAGGGTCTGACGTGATATAGCAGTGATAATGAACACTTACCTGGCACCTAAAAGTTCCTAAGAGTACAGGACATTTTAGGGCACTATTCTCAACTGTAAAATCTCATTTGATCCACAGAACAATACTAGAAGCTAGGCTCTATTATTATTCTCATTTTACAGGTGAGGACATCAGCTCACACAAAGAATTTATTTTTTATTTGTTCTTTTTAGGTATATGTGACAGTAGAGTGTATTTTGACATATGATACATACATGGTATATAACTTATTCTAATTAGGATCCTATGCTTGTGGTTGTACATGATGTGGAGTTACATATTCATGAATTCATATATGAACATAGGAGAGTTATGTCTGACTCATTCTACTGTCTCTCCGGTTCCCATCCCCACTTCCATCCCTTCATTTGCCTTTGACTAATCCACTGAATTTCTCTTCCCCTCACCCGATTGTTGTGTGTTAGCATCCGCATATCAGAGAGAACATTTGACTTTTGGTTTTATGGGATTGGCTTATTTCACTTAGCATGATAGTCTCCAGTTCCATCCATTTGCCGGAAAAAGTCATAAAGTCATTCTTTTTTTATGCCTGAGTAATATGMCATTGAGGTGATACAAAGAATTTAAATGATTTTCCAAGGTCCCATGGTATAAACGATAGAGCCAGAACTTGAACCCAGTCTATTTTCAGYATCCACATAGTTAATCTGCATTTAATTGATGTTTAYTGAACACATAAATTGCATAAATAGCTTTCTAAACCTAGAAACTGCCTTTGGATGCAGGGCTGCTCTTTTCTGGACAATTGCCACAGGGATGCCTTGTGTGTGCATATGGTTTCAGGTCGGATTTACAGAATGTTCTGTGAAGAAATAAGGAACAACAGTAATYGAAAATCACCTCTGAGAAAGAAGCACTACACTCTGAGCATGCCCAGAGGAGAATATTATAATCCATTTTAAAATCTGCTTGCTGGCCACCATTAGTGCTTTTTCACTCCCATTCTAAAACAGGTGCCCAAGGTCATTTTTTTTTACCTTATTCTCAGGAGAGAATGGATTTTAAATATGGCAGCGCTTGCTTCATCAAGTCTTCCAAATTCTGCTAAATTCCATGGGGATGGGAGAAGGAAGGATGAAAGAGTTTCTTACATCAAGAGCTTTTAAATTAAAAATAAGAATGAGATGGCTTAAATGTCTTTAAGCCTCTGTTTTCTCTCTCTCTTAAATTTGGAGGTGGAGCAACAAAAAAAAATTAGCTCATAAATGTAACTAGTCAAGTATTTTTAGCCACAAAGTGTTAAATACAGAAAAATATTTAAGAAAACAGGTCAAATGCTAAACAGATTGGCACTTCTTTGTTCATAATCAGAAAGCCATTAGGCAAGTATGAACAAGAGTTTCAAAATGTCAGTAAATCTGAGGGTATCAAAGATTTCTGAGCCAGCAAGTTAATTGGTATTTTGATCCTTTTGAGCAACTTAACAACAAAATGGATGAGCGAGCAGTTTTCCCCCTTGATGTTATTCAACAAATAGGTGCTTCTTATCTTCCTGCTCAAGAGTGCTGTTTTGTAAACTCTTAGCAAGAAATATGCAGAAAAAACAATCAAAGGCAGGGAACAAGCCATAGAGCCATTCAGAGTTTACCAAGCAGAGGCAAGTGCAAGGTAAAAGGCTGGTATGAGGTTGCTCTTTACCTTTTCCTGGTTTGTGGCATTCAGGACTGAAACCTGTAAGGTCGTGTTCTTGGGATTATATTGTCTCATCCAGAGTAGGGAAGAATTTCTCCAGTCCCCTGAGTCTGCAAACTTGACCACACCTCAAATGCTTCCTTGTTCTATTATCCTAGAATTTTCTTGCAAAATGACTTGGAAGTGCCCTTTCTTATGCTCTAGTCATGGGCCTTTGAGGAAAGGGGTGTCCTTTTGTCCCTTGCTCATCAACCATCAACACCTTCTCAATCAATGGGGCCAGGTGAACTAGAAGTCTTTTTCTGTTCACTAGTGCAAAAGAGGAACCCTGGTATGGCTGAGCAGGTATCGGAACCTCACCAAAGTCAGACTGTTGAGGGACATGATAAGAAAACCACTGTGAACATTCACTGTCTTCCTGGTCATTGGACTCTGAAGCAGGGTCCCTCGGAAAGTCTACACTAGGACTTCACGTATAACTGCATGTGTTGGGGTGTGTCCTAGCAAATGCCTAAAGGACAAGGACAAGGCTAATGTTTTGTTTAACTTTTATAGTCAATTGTGCAATTTAATAAGGAGACCTGGGTTCTAGTATCTTTTAGACTTAGTATTTGGCAAGTAACCCAATATTTCTGTAAAAGATGTTTCTGATCTGCATGACAAGAAGTCAGGCATGCACAGAGCCCACATCTTGAAAAATGTCAGTGATTTCATGCAGATTTCTGGACCTTACCTAGCCTCTAAGACTTCCAGAGATGCTTGCGGACTCCTAGTTGAGCTCATAGGATGTGAAACCTGCACCCAGTAGGACCCCATTCATCACAGTTGTTAAATCAGCCTCAGTTGATGGAAATGAAACTCTTCCCTCTTTTTTCCATCGGCATCTTCCATTCTTCTCAGGATGGCCTGGAGAGCCATGGTGCTTTGGTATCGCCTGCATCGCATTCTCCCTTCTATTCCTCCACTTCCTCCCCATCAGAAATGRGGAGTCACTTTGACTTCTCTCTCCTTCACTTCCTTTAAACAGTACATGACGAGGCCCTGATGCTTGGACCTGTGAAAAGTTTCTCCAGAAAGTTTTCTTGAGATTCTCCCACCCTTTCTCCCAAGGCTTTAGTTCAGGCCTGTGTTATTGGGGTGGTTGTAATCAGCCTAATAAGTTATAACCAGGGTTCATGAGAGTCTACAGTTCGATGGTCTTTAGTATATTCATAAAGTTGTACAGCCACCAATATCACCTAATCGTAGGATATTTTATTACCTAAAAAGAAACCATAAACCCATTAGCAATCCTTCCCTTACCCTTCACCCCACCAGCCCTAGGAAACCAGTAATCATCTAACTTCTGTCTCYCTAGACCTACCTATTCTGAAAATTTCATATAAATGAATCATACAACATGTGGTCTTTTGTGTCTGGCATTTTTCCTTTRGCATAATGTTTTCAACCATCATTCATGATGTACAATGTATCAGTATTTTTCTTCCTTTTTATGGATGACTATTCCATTGTGTGGACATGCCATATTTTGTTTATTAACTCAGTTGGCAGCCTTTTGTATCACTTCTACTTCTCAGATAATGCTGTTGTGTATATTCATGTATAACTTTTGATGTAAACACTTTTTTTTCCACTTAATTTTGGGTATTACCTGTAGGTAGAATTTCTGGGTATGGTAGCCCTAGGTTCAAAGTGGCAATATCAGTTTTTACTCTGATAAGGGATGTTATTTTTTTTAAACTGGAAAATAGTAAAACAGTTTTTATTTATTTATTTAAATTTTATTTATTTATTTATTTTCATTGGTTGTTCAGAACATTACAAAGCTCTTGATATATCATATTTCATATATTTGATTCAAGTGGGTTATGAACTCCCATTTTCACCCCGTATACAGATTGCAGAATCACATCGGTTACACATCCATGTTTTTACATATTGCCATACTAGTGACTATTGTATTCTGCTACCTTTCCTATCCTCTACTATCCCC